TCAGATTCCAGAGATTTTGTATAAATTTATTACTTATCCTGGAGAAAGCCAGCTAAGATTAAATAAATACTGCTGCTATTCTTGGGATATTGTACCAAGTTCCTGTAGGTGTGTGATTCCCCTTAGATTGCCACCCCCTTTGAATTACCTGAGACTAAAGAGTCACACAACCACCCTCCCCAGTAAACTAAGGCAAATATGTACATTACCAAGATACGTGATGATGTAGAGGGATATAAACTTCATATTGCGACTACTTCAGAATGACCTGCATATCTCTCTGCAAGTTATGCAGGTTATCCCAAACTCATGGCAATAGAATCTTTATAACACCCCATGCCATTTACATGTAATTATAATTATACCTTTAATTTCTAGTGTGCTTTTTAACTGATGATCTCAAAGTCTTTTCACACACATAAATTAATTAAGCCTCACAATGTCTCATGAGGTAAAATAGGTATTATTTTAATATGAATTATTTTTAGTTCCTAGCTCGCTAAAATCCCAGGCTAAATGTTACTTTTTATCAGTTCTCCTTTTTCGCCTTTACCATGTCCCATCAGTTGGGATTGGAGACTTTTGTTCTTAATCTCCAAACATTCTTGTCAAGTGCTTCTTCCAAACTGACACCAACCTTCTTCACGTCATCCTTCAGCTTCTCAAACCACCTTTTTCTAGGTCTTCCTCATGGTCTTTGTCCCATGACTACTGGTTCTTGTACTATCTGGCCAACATATCTCAGATTTCATTGTTTCACAGACCCAATCATCTCTATTGATACTCCCTCAGCTTTTCCATGATGGGGCCTATCTGCATTATGGCTCATACTGTTTTGTTGCATAGACTATCAGCTCTCGTCTTGTCCGGTGTCCACCTGAGCATTGTCATTTTGGGAGTGTGAAGTAGTTGTTTTTCTCACTTCCTCATTGGCCAGCACTCTGACCAGTACATACAGGCACCATCAGAACAATTTTCTAGGAACTCTGTCATAAGCCTTCTCTAAATCCACAAACACTCAACGCAGCTCCATGCATTTCTCCCTGTCCGCCTCTTGCACTATTCGGGATGCAAACACTGCATCCATTATTAACTTTCTCGGCATAAACCCAAATTGACCCCCCCTCCATAATACTTAACGTGATCGTAGAATATCACGGTTGGAAGGGACCTCAGGAGGTCATCTAGTCCAACCCCCTGCTCAAAGCAGGACCAATCCCCAATTTTTGCCCCAGATCCCTAAATGCCCCCCTCAAGGATTGAACTCAAAACCCTAGGTTTAGCCGACCAATGTTCAAAACACTGAGCTATTCCTACCCCAAGGTAGAAAAGTTAAGGTGATGGGCTGGTAATTGCTGCATTCTTGCACATCTCCTTTATACTGGCTTTTTATAAGCTAATACACCTAAATCCTGTGCAAATTTCAGAGTTCAATTACACAGATAACCTCACAAAGCAGACACATGGATGAGAGCTGCCAAGTTCCCAGTATCCCATGCCCAGTTGCATGCTGTTCAGGGGAGGAAATGCTGCTTAGCAATAAAGGAATGGTAGGGGAGAGGAAAAGTGAACTCAAAGACCCTTCTTTCTCAGTGTGAAATGCTGTCATGTTTGCTACACTCTGATACTCCTATGGGAACTGTTATATAATGCAAGATTAAGCTGTGGAAATAGCACAATAAGATTCAAAGAAGGATGGACACACATGAGAAATTACTACTGCTATAAGAAAAGGAGTACATGTGGCACCTTAGAGACTAACAAATTTATGTGAGCATAAGCTTTCATGAGCTACCGCTCACTTCATCGGATGCATTCAGTGGAAAATACAGTGGGGAGATTTATATACACAGAGAACATGAAACAATGGGTGTTATCATACACACTGTAAGGAGAAAGAAAAGGAGTACTTGTGGCACCTTAGAGACTAACAAATTTATTTGAGCATAAGCTTTCGTGAGCTACAGCTCATTTAATCAGATGCATTCAGTGGAAAATACAGTGGGGAGATTTATATACACAGAGAACATGAAACAATGGGTGTTATCATACACACTGTAAGGAGAAAGAAAAGGAGTACTTGTGGCACCTTAGAGACTAACAAATTTATTTGAGCATAAGCTTTCGTGAGCTACAGCTCATTTCATCGGATGCATTCAGTGGAAAATACAGTGGGGAGATTTATATACACAGAGAACATGAAACAATGGGTGTTATCATACCTGTAAGGAGAGTGATCACTTAAGATGAGCTATTACTAGCCGGAGGGTGGGGGAAGGGAGGGGGGGAAGAAAACCTTTTGTAGTGATAATCAAGGTGGGCCATTTCCAGTAGTTGACAAGAACGTCTGAGGAACAGTGGGGGCAGAGGGAGGGAAATAAACATGGGGAAATAGCTATCAATCCCTCTGCTTTGTCAACTGGAAGAGATCAGGAAGAAATTCTGTTATTGTCCCATCATACAAATATTACACAACAAGGCAAATTATAAAATCAGCTGCTATCCTAGATAGGCTTGTGGACTAGACAGACAAATAGAGCCAAATTCTGCACTAGTTTCAGCACTGATTATAATGGGATAGTCTGGAGTTTTGAAAGGGAAAGGAGAAATATTATTGTCTATCCAGTATGTGTTTTCTATAGTAGTAGTAGAACAAGTTAATCAAGAATGGCCCACTAAGACTGCAAAAACAAAATGACCCAAATGTGGTGCAAGCCTCACTGGTTTACACTAGTTTTTTTCCCAAAAACTTGGAGCAGTGAAGGATTTCTAGGAACAGTTCAATGAGTAAGACACCAAAGCAGAAGTTTCCCTTCTGTTTCTACCTATACATGGATTACAAAACTGAAATCCACGAAGCAGCCTCCAGCTCCTTGTAAAACATTCCCTCCCTCTCCCCAAAGGAAGGAGTTAGATCTATTTGGAGAGAAAACGGTAATAGAAATGCACTGGACAGAGCTGTTATTGAAAGGACTGGGTAGGTTTATATATTGTCCCTATTTCTGAGAGAGAATTTCCACAGGCTAGTATGACTTAAAACTTTTCTACCTTTAAAAGCATTTTCTCTCTCTTCTGTAATATTACCTCTCTGTAATATTTTGTATTAAAGGCTTGATCAAATTCAGTGGCACCTTATTCAGAAGCGAGAAGATTAAGCTCTAAGGGCCATCTTTTTGTTCTCTGATTGTACAGTGCTCAGCACAGTGGGGTCTTGCTATTTTAATACAAATAATAATAAAATAATAACAATAATGGGAGAGAATAAAGGTTTAAAGATAAGACTCAGGGCTTCTCTCCATGGGGAAAGTGACTGGCAGAACTCTAGTGTTATAAACATACTGCGTCTACTATAGCTATTCCATAGCTATGCTGAGGGATAGCTCAGTGGTTTGAGCATTGGCCTGCTTAAACCCAGGGTTGTGAGTTCAATCCTTGAGGGGGTCATTTAGGGATCTTGGGCAAAAATTGGGGATTGTTCCTGCTTTGAGAAGGGAGTTGGACTAGATGACCTCCTGAGGTCCCTTCCAACCCTGATATTCAATGATTCTATGGTATAACTCCCTGTGGGGACTTCATGCCAGTGTTGCTTATATTGCTTCCAAAGTGGCATAAACTGTATGAAGGGGTATTGGAAAGGAAGGAATGTCCACATCCCCCCACAACTATCAAGTGTGTGCATTTGGAAGGGATAAACTGAAGAGGGCTTTCATAAGTATATATGAAAAAGAAGCTCTCTGAAGATCTTAGAGATCTCTAAGTGAACGGTGTGCAACACATCAGCCTAAAGACTGTCACCTCTGCAAAGGTCTGTTATACAAAGATTCCACAGGACCACAAACTGAGCATGCACAGCGTACACTTCACACAACAAGCAGCAATGTCAGCAGCAAAGAGCTTGATCCAACACTTATTAAGGTGATGGGCAATATACTTCATACAGACAGAAGCTCTGAGCACCTATAACTCCCCCTGGAGAGGAAGATTAAGCCCATTGCTGCTCTGCACCTTGGGTAGTCACCTATGCCTGTGCCAAGTGGGTGCAAAACATCAGTCTGATCCAGTAGCATTTTATAGCCACTTGGCGCAAGTGGCTGTGCAGGGTTCGGACCCGTTGTGCTCAGGGAGAAAAGAAAGGCAAAGGGTTTCAGGGAGGTAGGAAGCAATTCCTCTGAAACAAGCCCTCATTTTTTCAAAGCAAGCCGTTATGGCAGCACTTACACACACATAATTAGCAAGTACATGAATTTCCTGCTGATGCTTCATCAGATGTTTTGCACAAAAACGCTTTCATATTGACATGACCTTTCTGAATGAGCGGCAGCTGGACAGAGAGCATAACCGGTATATTTTTAAGGGAGTGAAATCAGTACTTGTGAAAGCAAGGAGCAGATCCTGCGAGTCACAGGCAGGCATAATGAAGACATATGCTGTGTGTTTCCCCACATACAGTTCTTCAACATACAACTCAATACTGACCTCCAGCAACGCAACTGCTAATCTCTACCTGGGCTCCCCACACAAATGCGTCAGTGGACCCCACACCTATCCTGCAGCCCCCTGTTATTCCAGCCTTGGGAACTACAATCAGTTGTCCCGATTCCCTTCAATACTGCCCTACAGTGCTCGCCCTGGCTATTCCAGTCCTGGGAACTTCACCCAGTTCTGCCAATGCCTCTCTATCCTAACACACACCCTGCTATTCTAGCGCTGCATCCCTCTTGAGCAGAAACTGCATATTGTGCCCAGTCATGCAGTAGGTTTACACAATGAATTCGTGGGGACGAAACTGAGACCCACTAAATTCATTTCACAGATGAGCAGAGATACAATCTGAACTCCAGAGATATTCCTCCTTAAAAAAGTCTGAAAGAAAGGCCGATCGACAAGTGCTGCAAGCACTTGCTGAGTTTATCTACAGCCTGGGCAGAGAGACACACAAGCTTTAACAGAGAAAGCAGCATGCGGAGGAGGGAAAGCAAGAAGTCTGAGCGACACTGTACCTTTTCTGCTGTAGCAGGTGGATTTCATCCAGATGCCGAGCCCAGGATTTTTTGCCCTGTAACTTGTGTCTGAGCCTATTCCAGAGCTGGATGAAAGGTTTGCTATTCCCAGGCAGGGGCAACCCCATTGTCTTTTCCCTTTCTCCTCCTTTTCTTCAGCTGGAGCAGCCTTCTATACCAAAGCAGAAGCCAGCAACCCTCACCCAGAAAGATTTAAGGCAGTCTTACTGAATGGCCCTGGGCTGCCTCTCCTCTCCGCACTGTTTATTAACTCTTCCCGGAATCTCCTGTGCACAGCTAGCTCAGATGTATCTGTTCAAAAAGAAAAATGTAACCACCTCTGGCTAGCAGGCCATCCTGAGCCATGCCGACCATCAGAATGAAACAAAACAGACAGAGCAGCGAGTTGATCCCCAAAATAACCCGCCCCAAAAGTGTGTCTGTTTTGGAGACAGCCACTTGGGATCCTATGCTTCAGGTGCTCTGACCCTGCCCAGCTGCTGAGGAATATCTAAGGCTTCAGCTCCTAACATGTATTTTCCATTTCTAAGGTCTAGGATTTAGAGAAGTTTCTTCCTTATCCACCCCGGCTACCTGTGGGAAGGTGCATCTGAGCATAGACAGAGGACTGAGCAGATCAGGCAGAGCAGCATCTAGCTCTGTGAGCATATGAGAGTGTGTTATGAAAGATACTATCTGCTGGGAAGGCACCGAGGCACAGTACAAAGGAGGCCACACCTCCCAACTCTCCTCTCCGCAAATCACATCAGAGACACAGCTTGTGTTTAAGGAGCTGGCCGGCCTGCCCCATCCCCACCTCTCTCTCTCACACACACACCCCCGCGTGTACGCATACAAAATAATTTCCAATCTCCAAACCTTTTAGGAGGTGGCAGAAGAGTTTAAAGATATTTGTATAGAAAGACTTCCCCTCCTCTCTTTCCTCTTCCTTTTTTCCCTTGCATTCTCTCTTACTTTCTTGCTCTACCTTGTTTTGTCAGTACAATGTATTTGGAAGGAGAGTGAAATTTACCATTTGTCTGTACTATTCTTTCATTGATGGAAAGAAGCACAAAGTGACTCCATGGGCTTGGGGTATTGATAAGCAGGAGCCACATTGTCAGAGCAAAGACAGTAGGGGATATTACCTGAGAGCAAAGAAACTATGGGCCAAACCCTGCAACAAGGCCCTGATCCACAAAGAGAATGGGAGTTTTGTCGTGATTCAATGGGAGCAGGATTAGGCCTTTAGTCTTTACTCAGGCTACATTCCCATTGAAGTCAGTAGGGATTTTGTCTGAGTGAAGTCTGAAGGACTTGGCATTGGACATTAAGCAGAATCAGCAGTTAGGAACAGAAATCTGAAGGGAGGGCTTTGGGGAAGAAAGGTGAGTAAAGCACCAAAATAACCAGGGGAAGGAGGAATAAAGATTAATCTGCAGAGGCTGATGCAGGAGACCTAACAGGTCTTTCTGATCTCTAACTCCTAGGATTCTCTGAATCCTGCAGTGTAAGTGTAAGTGTCAAACTGAACTGACCTGGAATAAAACATAAAATCATTACTGATAAAGTTTCAGATGACACAAAAATTGGCGGAGTGGTAAATATTGAGGGGGGTAGGTCCCTGATGCAGAGCAATCTGGATTGCTCGATAAACTGGGCACAAGCAAACAATATGTGTTGTAATACCCCTAAATGTAAATGTCCATACCTAGGAACAAAGAATGCAAGCCATACTTACTCAATGGGGGACTCTGTTCTGGGAAGCAGTGACTCTGAAAAAGATTTGTGGGTCATGGTGGATAATCAACTCCCAATGTGACGCTGTGTCCAAAAGGGCTGATGTGATCCTAGAATCCATAAACACAGGGATCTTGAATTGGAGTAGAAACAGAGAGGTTATTTACCTCTGTATTTGGCACAAGTGCAACCACTTCTGGAATACTGTGTCCAGTTCTGGTGTCCACAGTTCAGGAAGGATGTTGGTAACTTGGAGAGGGTTCAGAGAAGAAACATGAGAATGATTAAAAGATTAGAAAACCTTCCTCATATTTATAGACTCCCAGAGCTCAATCTATTTAGCTTAACAAAGAGAAGGTTAAGAGGTGACTTGATTACAGCCTATAAGCACCTACATGGAGAACAAATATTTAATAGTGGACTCTTCAATTTGACAAAGAAAGATATAACATGATCCAATGGCTGGTAGTTGATGCTAGACAAATTCAGGCTGGAACTAAGGTGTAAATTTTTAACGGTGAGCATAATTAACCATTGGAACAATTTACCAAGGGAAGTGGTGGATTCACCATCACTGACCATTTTAAAATCAAAATTGGATGCTTTTCTAAAAGATACTGTAGAATTATTTGGGGGGAAGTTCTATGGCCTGTGTTATACAGGAGGTCAGACTAGATTATCACAATGATCCTTCTGGTCTTGGAATTTATGAATCTCTGAACTCTGCGGGCATTCATTCCTCACTGCAGTCAGTGAGGGCTCAGCCATTAATGCCAGCCAGGAGAGACAGATGGTGGTGGGAGGGATGCAGCCTTTGGATAATTAAATAAACACACACACCCCTCCTGCTTTTCCTGGAGAGCGGGTGGGGTAGGGAAGCCAGGGTCGAAGTAAGATAAGGCTCTTAGATACCAAGATGATAGGCACCTTACAAATACCTAAGGTAGATAGACAGATAAGTCCCCATTTAGTTGAGCTGCTCTCCCCACCCCCGCTCTTGGGTTACTGGCTCTTGGTGCATAGTTGGCATTCTCTCTCTGGGGGGTGAGAGGAGGGTGGGGGGGTATTGTCATACCTGCAGGCTAAGACTAACAGTTAGAAGGACTCTAGTGTGTAAATGTTACACCTCCAATTTAAATAGGTTAAATCCAGTGCTGATTGTACAGCCATTACAGGCCAGGAATGGGAAATCTCTCTCTCTCTCTCTCTCTGGGGGTATCCCCCTAACCCAATGCTGTGTAGGGAAAATGTGTCTATTTTGACTGATGCAGGGGGGGAAAATGTAATTTTGTAACTAATGTCATCCTGCTGCCCAATGGCATAGGGAAGGGGGGGCAGTGCAGTGTGAGTGATGTGTCTCAAGGAGACAAGGGCCTGGTTACTTTAAAAGGGGACGTGACTAGGTGAAAGGGAATGAATAGTGGTACACATTCCTTGCCAAAGCTGTTCCAAGCAGCAATAAGCGCTGCCCCTTTGCAGTGGTACCACAATGTAGCCATGGATGAAAGTGGATACAAGCATACATTGCATCTGCAGACTAGCAACATAGTTACTAGCTCAGCCACACACAAACACATACACATGCATACTTGGGGAGCTGGTCCTTCAGCTCCAAACACACTTGAGCTAAAGAAGAATTCCAACAATAATTGTAGGTCTCTTATCCTTTTTGTGGCTCAGCCACTGGAGGGCATCATGACACAACACACATACACACATAACACCCAGACATTGCAAGAGGGCGTTTTCTCTGCTTATAGCAGTGGATGTGCTTTAGGTGAATTGCCAGCATGGACAACAGATGGAAGCTGGCTACACCATGGGAAAACATTCCAGAGGCCAAGGCTGGTTGTCAGACAAAACATTGTAAAGGTCTTTGTGGGTGAAGGAAGGCTACAGAGCATGTGTAATAGTGACCTCATGGAAAGATGACACACAACACAATGGTCAGAACAAGTGGTAATGACATTTGGGGGTGATGGTTCTGTGGTGGCACACATTCAGGTCCCCTATCTTTTGGGGGAAGCTCAATCAGTGTTGTGTACATCACAGCCAGCACAGGCCTGGCCTTGAGAGCAAGTGGAACGGCACAGATAAATCAGTAGATGGTACTATTTGGTGGAGAGACAAATGAAAAATAGAGATACTCACAAGGCCAGAGAATGGCCATTTGCACACGTCTACTACAAGTTAAGGGGAACTGCAAGACCACGTTGACCACTGGGAACATGCTGTTTGGTCATATAGTATTGCCATGGTTATAACACAGTCCTTCTGCTCTCTTCGGCACATGGGGTACTTCTGTCATCACCACCAATTGCTGGCTATTCATAAACCATGTAGAGCACTAACTGAGCAGATATGTGGTGCTTCCCATTCTTATTTTCATGCACCAAATCTTGCTTTGTGTGGATTTGTACTAGATGGCCTAATCAATCCCAGTACTTCCCATTCCAGTGCAAGGAAATGTAGTTTTAAATCAGTGGACTGGGAGTCAAGAGTTTTACATTCTACTTTTAGCTCTGACACTGATTCACTGCAAGACCTTGGGCAAGTCACTTCCCGTCTCTGTGCCTCAGTTTTCTCATCAGCAAAATGAAAATAACAATACTTCCCTAACTCTTGGGGTATTGTGAGGCTTAAAGGGCCTAATCTATACCCAAAGTTACATTACGCAACAGCCAGCGTGAATTCCAGGTATTATCCTAGAGCAAACTGGACCCTTGTCTTTTAAAGTCTATTTCAATAATAGTCGAGTCAGAAGACAACATCAGGATCATGTCTGTTTGCAGCATGATGTAGGAACACTAGAGCCTTGGGTGTTGACCATCTGGAGGAGCTGAGGCCAAGGCAGGAGGCAGTTTTATTGTCTTGACTGTAATCAAAATAGTTGATGCCAGCATATGCAAATTAAATTATAGTCACAAATGATTCATTCACTATAGGGTATGGATTCCTTTAGTCTAAATGACTCTGACCCTTGCATTCCTTATTCTCACAAAATTCCTGTTGACTTCAGTGGGAATTTTGAGTGCCCAAGGAATGTAGGATTGGATCCAATGTATTTAACTTGTGACAAGTCAGAAAGAGAGCTCTCTCTCTCTCCCCCCCCCCCCCACCCTTTCATTCACAGGGTCCAAACATCTCCTTAGGAATAGAAAAAAATACAAGGGAGAAGAGATGCTTCAAATATTTCTCCAAAGAGGAAATGGTAAGTGCACCTTATTCTCCTACAATATCTGCAATGTGAAGAGCAGCTAATGGGTGTGATGGAGGATATTACAAGAGTGAGGGAGGATGTTCCATCTAAGGAAGAAGCTATGTGTATTGACATGCTGCAAGAGCCCCTCATTTATAGCTCCTGAAGAGACTTAGATCTCTTTTAAACAGAGAACAGAAAATGTGACAGCGGATGATATTAACAGAACTTGCTCATGACGAAAGCGTTTTGGTAAACTTACATTCTTTTGTGGTTGTACTTGTGTGTAACTTTAACTTTTCTCCCCAATCCATGCCACTCACCTGATGGACACACGAGGCTCTTTGCCTCAATAACAATACCTAGCATTTAGAACAGGTTTTACATCTTCAAAGCACTGAGCAGCCCATTGACTAACCAATACTCACATCATCTCTGTGGGCTATAAGTATAGTCACACCCATTCTACACTTGCAGAAACTGGGGCAGAGTGAGGTCAAGTGACTTGCCCAAGACCAGGCTGAGAGTAAGTAGCAGAACATGATTAGGGCTCCAGTCATGGCTCCCAGTCCTGTGGTCCGTCCACTCGCCCTCCTTCTTTTGCTTCCTCTTTCACTTTCTCTTGTTCCCCTCCTCTCTGAATCTCTTCTTCATGTTCAACCTGCTTGAAACAAGATTACAGGATTGCTTTTGTGATCTGAATCACAAATGGATTCCAGTTC